AGAGAGAGAGAGAGAGAGAGAGAGAGAGAGAGAGAGAGAGAGAGAGAGAGAGAGAGAGAGAGAGAGAGAGAGAGAGAGAGAGAAAGAGGGAGAGGAAGGGAGGAAGGGAGGGAGTGCACCAACCAAAAAACGAATATCGGAAATTCCTGTCGATTGGGCATGGTGCACGCATTTTCACCAGCGTTCAGATCTGAAATTGAGTCTTCTCTGTTCGCATATAATTCCCCGTTTTCATGCCAGCCCCAACTTCTTATGACCAAAAATGTCATGAAATGCCTTCATGATTGCCTCTTCACCTTTCCTATGTGTTTGCAGCTCTGTAAAATAGGTGAATATCATCGTTTCTGCTTTTTTTTCCCCCCCCTTTCAAACAGGTCCTTATGGCCCTGGCTCCATTTCCATTCTGGGGAGCATCAGTCCTGTTCCTATTCCACCAGCAAGTCAGAATAAAATGTTACATCACGAAACCCACTCACGCTTCCTTCCGTCTGGCCGAAGGAACCCTGACCATCATTGATTGCTCCAACATCACGGAGGATTGACTGTCATTTTGCCTTACTTCCACCTTTCCTCTCAGGTCCCCTGCATGAACCGGTCAGATATAAAAGATAAAGGGCAAGAAAGGTAAAAGAAGCTGCAGAGAACGCAATCTCAGAACTGCCCTGCAATATTACGTGGCCTGTGATGATCTTGTCCATCTGCCGGCTGGGATCTCTGCCTTTCTCCACCCGGTCTTTCCACCGTATGCAAAAGTCATTTATCACAGCTACTTTGCCCTCTGCAAGCCACACCTTGGTGAATTTTGCCTGAATTCTTCTGTTTTTCTTTGCCATCTGGCATGGAGTGTCTCGTCTTATGCCACTTACAAAGAATCTCTGTCTGAATCAAGGTCCTCGCCTCTGCCCATACCTTCCCCCTTGGAGTTGAGAGACCCTCGATGGTTCTGTGGCACCTTTCCGTCCAGATGGACCACAGTGTTAACCTTCTGATCATTCCGAACCACGTTCTTTCTGTCTTGTGGAATTGAGCTGGGATGTTAGTCCATAGAAGGAGTTGGATGGGGTGGTCAGGGAGGGGAGTCGAGAAGAGGGAGTCCCAGAGATCCGAGGCCCTCGCCCAATATTCTGTCGCCTCTCTACAGCGTATCAAGCGATGCATCATATCTTCTGGTTCATTTTCTGAACATACCGCACATAAATCTGAACTGTTAGGGTCATTCTTACTTCTTCTGATATGCAGCCACTGGTTAACCGGTAGAGCCACGTATGCGATGAGCCATTGGAGGCTTCTGATTTTTGACCGGTCGGATTGACTTGGATTTTTTCAATGGTATTTGTGGGATCTGACTAGCATCCTGACATATTAACTTCTGCCATCTGTTCTTGATCGTTGGGTCAGGACGCAGGATCCTTTGTTTTGAGGAGTAAGTTGTATCCCAGTTTGACTGTGTATTCCGGGATGGGGACATTCATTTTGAGATTTCTGCTTCTGTCTGGTGTCCAAGCCCACTCTGCTGGATCAAATTCCAAGTTCTGCGTTTTTTCCTTCTTTTTTAAATACCCTTTCTATTCTGGGGGCGACAGTCCGGTTACTTATCACCGGCAAGCATGTTTGTCAAAGAAGGGGGGAGAACAAACGAACGAGAGGATAAGCCTTATCCTTGTGGTAATAACCTAACAAGGGGGCGGGGGACTGCTACAGGACGTCCCTCCCCCCCAAACCATGCCCTTTCTCAGGGGGTTCCCCCTGCTGGCCGGGAGGCTTACTAGCAGCACCCAGTTACGCAGCAGGGTAGCCCTCAGAAGGGCAAGGCGCCGGGGGGGGGGGGGGGGGGGGGGGGGGGGGGGGGGGGGGGGGGGGGGGAGAGTGCGGCTCCCCAGCAGTTCCACAAGTCGCCTATCGAACCCGCCATCATCACCCAGTCATCCCTTCCCACCCTAGTCCTGCTCTCACGATATCACGCTCTCCCTGCCTTATCCCTTTCGCCCACATTATTGCTATCTCTGTGTCCCCTCGACTCTTGTTCCCATCTCTGTATCCCCATTGACTCTAATCCTGTCTGTCCCCCTATCACGATGCTTCCACCATCCCCTGTCCCTGTGTTGTCTATCCGTGGCTCCTCGTCATTGTCGACCCCAGCAGTAGTGTTGTGATTAGCACCTTCTAACCCCATAGTAGTTCTATGTTTCTGATATCTTTTGGTGTTTTTCAGTGTTTTTTCCTCTCCTCAGCCATACTCTCCCTCCAATCCCCACCCCTCCCTCCCCGTTCTCCCCTACTTCCCCTCCTATTGTCACCTACTGTTACATGCTGCGCCTGAAACGAGGGCCATTTTCAGGCCCTGTATTGTTTTCAGCCTAAAAGCCTGAAAACAAGGGCCTACAGGCCCTGTGTCGTTTTCAGCCTAAAAGCCTGAAAACAAGGGCCTACAGGCCCTGTGTCGTTTCAGCCTGAAAGCCTGAAAACAAGGGCCTACAGGCCCTGTGTCGTTTCAGCCTGAAAGCCCGAAAACAAGGGCCTACAGGCCCTGTCTGCATTTAAAAGGAAAAATGAAAGAAAAAAAAAATTCAGCCTACAGGCCCTCCTATTAAAAGGGGAAAAAAAAAATAATCTGAAAAAAACATTTTTTATCATACAGGCCGGGAACTTGGTCCAGTGTCCCTTTTACATATAATACCACTCCAGGCCTCCTTCTATTCTTATGGCTGAAGGATCCTGATAACTATTTTCATCTTATGTTTTGGTTCTTTGAGTTTTGAAATGCAATACTTGCAATCTTTGCAACGCTTCCTTACCCCCTCTTTATCCTTAACACTCCTAAAGCGTGTAGCGGGTCTCGCGTCACGCTCCCACGAGACCCCGGTTGCCAGTGTTGGGAAACGTGCCGTGGTGAGGGGCGGGCCCGCGGGGAACTCCTTAATGTTTTCGAAACGGCGGGCGCTGGGGGGAGTCCGAATTTAGCGCAGGGGCCGGGGAAGATACACTCCCTTTTTCTTTTCGGGGGGGAGGGGGCCTTCGGGAGTCTTCGGGTGCCGCCCCGGAATGAATCTCGGGCGGGGACAGGGGAAGATGCACTGTTTTTTTTTTTTGGGTCGGGGGGGCAGCACGCGACGTCGGCGGGCCTTCGGGAGTGTTCGGGTGCACGTCGGGTGCACGTCGGCCAGTTAGCCGCATCTCCCGTGTTCGACAGTTTGCGGGCGCATTCAAACTCGGCCATCGTCTCCCGCGTTCGACAGGCGTCTTGAAGGGGACCGAACCGCGGGCAGTGGGATCGACGGGAGAGAGAGAGAGAGAGGGAGATACATAGATAGATAGATAGATAGAGAGAGAGAGAGAGAGAGAGAGAGAGAGAGAGAGAGAGAGAGAGAGAGAGAGAGAGAGAGAGAG